ATATATATATATATATTTTTTTTTTATATATGTAATCTGTACCTTAAGAAGTGTACAATCTAAGTTTAAAGATGAGGTAGTAGAGAACATTGAAAGTCTGTGGGAAAAGCAATTGACCAGCAGTAAAAAAACCTGTTGATTTGTTCTGGTGTTCTTGCACATTGCATGTATGCACTCTGCTACCTCGTGGCATGGCACTGCTACCATCCAACCAGAGTGGTCTCCTTGGCTCTCCCAGTAACTCAAGTAAAGAATAATTCAATAGTATCCTCCCCTTGAAGTACAGTTTACAAGTTCGATAAAACATGTGGTTGATTTGACCCTTTCAGGTTCAAGCCATTTCTGTCTGAGCCATTCCCAGTTTCTCTGCAAGCCCTGGCTCCAGGTTCTGTGCAAGTGCAGGAGAGCTCTGTCATTTTCATACTTGGCCCTTAATTCTGTAGGGAGTTATTTCTCCAAAGTCTCTTCCAAGCCCAGGTCATGTGCTTCAAGCTTCTTCAACTTGGAAACAAAGTATGCACCCCTTCCATGATGCCAGGCTTCACTTCTGGCAGGTGTTTCAGCTTCCAGGTTCTTATCACTGTGTATTTTGGGCCTCTCTAGAGAGACTTTACACCAGATAGAATCATGGAAAATTAGGGTTGGAAGGGACCTCAGGAGGTCATCTAGTCTAACCCCCCTGCTCAAAGCAGAACCAGTGCCAACTAGATCATTCCAGCCAGGGCTTTGTCAAGCCAGGCCTTTAAACGTCATTCTCCCCTCGTACTCAGCCTTGGTGAGGATACAGCTGGAGTACTGCGTCCAGTTTTGGGCTCCACAATTCAAAAAGGATGTGGAGAAGCTTGAGAGAGTCCAGAGAAGAGCCACGCGCATGATCAGAGGTCAGGGAAGCAGACCCTACGATGACAGGCTGAGAGCCCTGGGGCTCTTTAGCCTGGAAAAGCGCAGGCTCAGGGGTGATCTGATGGCCACCTATAAGTTTATCAGGGGTGACCACCAGTATCTGGGGGAACGTTTGTTCACCAGAGCGCCCCAAGGGATGACGACTAGGTTGAACGGTCAGAAACTACTACGAGACCGTTTCAGGCTAGACATAAGGAAGAATTTCTTTACTGTCCGAGCCCCCAAGGTCTGGAACAGCCTGCCACGGGAGGTGGTTCAAGCGCCTACATTGAACACCTTCAAGAGCAAACTGGATGCTTATCTTGCTGGGATCCTATGGCCCCAGCTGACTTCCTGCCCTTTGGGCAGGGGGCTGGACTCGATGATCTTCCGAGGTCCCTTCCAGCCCTAATGTCTATGAAGTCTATGAAATATATGAAAAGTCTCCAAGGATGAAGACTTCACCACTTGTTCCAGTGCTTTACCGCACTTCTAGGGAGGGAGTTTTTTCCTAATATCCAACCTAAACCTCCCTTGCTGCAACTTGGGACCATTGCTTCGTGTTCTGTCATCTGTCAGCACTGAAACAGTCCCACTCCATCCTCCTTGGAAGTACCCTTCAAGTAGTTGAAGACTGCTATCATATCCCCTCTCAGTTTTCTCTTCCACAAACTAAGTAAAACCAGTTCCCTCAGTTTTTCCTCAGAAGTCATGTGCCCCAGCCCCCTAACCATTTTCATTGCTTGCTACTGGACTCTCTGCACCTTGTCCACATACTTTCTATAGTGGGGGGCCCAAAACTGGACACAGTACTCCAGATGTGGCCTCACCAGTGCAGAACAGAGTGAATAATTACTTCCCTCAGTCTGCAGGCAACGCTCCTACTAATGCAGTCCAGTATGCTGTTAGCTTTCTTGGCAACAAGGGCACACTACTGACTCATATCCATCTTATTGTCCACTGTAACCCCCAGGTCTTTTTCTGCAGAGCTACTGCTTAGCCAGCCAGTCCCCAGGTTATAGCGGTACATGGGATTCTGCTGTCCTAAGTGCATGAGATTTCTTTTGGCCCAATCCTCTAATTCGTCTAGGTCACTCTGAACCAAGGTTCCCTCTAAGCTGCGCGTATGCACAGCTGTGCACAATAAAAAGTCTTGACGCGCACAAACTTTTTAATGCCGCGCACCTGTCCGGAGAGGAGCTGGGCTGCAGCTTCCTATAAACTTTGGGCACGGAGCGCAGCGGAGGCACCGGAGCCGGCACGAGACACCTTACCGGTGGTAAGTTATCCCTCAGCTGCACAGGGGCCGCTCCGCTCCTCACTGTGCCGGCATCCCCGTGGGGAGGGAGAACAGTGCAGAGCAGGCGGTGGCTCCTCTCTGGGGCGAGGCAGAGCTGATTCAACCTGAGGTAGGCTGAAAGCAATTGCCTGCTTTGGCATTCATCCAGAGGTAGAGTTCATTTGCAAATGATGGGGGGTAAAATATATATATATCGGAATGGGATCTTTGACCCCCAAGCATTCAAGAGGCTTTGACCTGCACAGCTCAGCCAAGAACACACTCCCTTGACTTGTCCTCTGATGTGGGGGAATCACTCCGAACCACTCGCATGTTTTTGAGTTATGGCAAGAGTGACCTCAGCGTATATACACCTTCCAAAGGAGCTTTCCTCCCAGCCTGGGAGAAGGGTGGGTGCCTGGCCCCTGCTGGGAAAGCTGGTGCCTGGGGGCAGGGTGCATTCCCAGGTTGGCCCCAACAGTCTGTACACTCTTTGGAAATCCAGGTCAGGGATTTTCCTGCTGCTTGGCCTTCCTGTTTCAATTTGGAGTCAGCCTTCAGAATAGCACTGGCCCTTTGTTCGAGGCCATCTCAGAGAAAAGCTAACTCTAAGTTAAGCCTATGTGGCAGGCTCCTTTTTCAGTGGGAACTTCACAACAAGCGGCGTGCTCACGGATCACTACACCTTAGAGGGAACATTGAACCCTAGCCCTAACTGCCAGTATATCTACTACACCCCTCAGCTTGCTGTCATCCACATGCAATCCATCTCATTTTCCAGATTGTTAATGAAGATATTGAACAAAACTAGCCAAAGGACCAACCCCTGGCTTGATACCAGCTGCCAGCTAGACATTGAGTCATTGATTACTACCTGTTGAACCTGCCACTCCAGACTTTCTATCCACCTTACAGTCTATTCATCCAGCCCATACTTCCTGAGCTTGCTTAGAAGAATGCTGTGGGAGATTGTATCAAAAGCCTTGCTAAAATCAAGGTAGATCACATCCACTATTTTCCCTGCATCCACAGAGCCAGTTATCTCATCATAGAAGGTAATCATGTTGGTCAGGCATGACTTGCCCCTGGTGAATCCATGCTGACTGTTCCTGATCACTTTCTCCTCAAGTGCTTAGAATTGGATCCCTTGAGGACCTCCTCCATGATTTTTCTGGGGACTGAGGTGAAGCTGACTGGTCTGTAGTTCCTTGGCTCTCCATCCCTTTATTAAAGATGGGCACTATATTTGCCCTTTTCCAATCATCTGGGACCTCCCCCAATCACCATGAGTTTTCAAAGATAATGGCCAGTGGCTCTGCAATCTGCAGTCACATCAACCAACATCCTCAGCACTGATCTTCCTCTTGTTGCTAACATACTTGCAGAATCCCTTTTTGTTACCCTTTGTGTCCCTTGCTAGCTGCAACTCCAGTTGCACTTTGGCCTTCCTGACTTCATCCCTGCCTGCCCAAGGTCCCATCCACATGGCATAGCTGCTATGGGAGCTGAGCTGGAGCCATGACCAGTACGCCAGGCTAGAATGGGGACAGAGCCTGCCAGCATGAAGTGAGGATAAGGCAGGGTGGGAAGCAGAGACCAGAGGCTGGAAGGGAGGCAGGCACAATTGGAGGGTAAGCTTCTTGACCTTCCCACACTGCCTTCTTCTTCCTCCTCCCCCCGCAGCACTGGGGGTGTAGGGGATGAATATTTGAATTTGTGTAACTATGTTACATTCATCAACTTCCAAGGATAAACAGATAATCTTTAAGTTTTAGATTAGTCATATCAGTTCTAGCTAGTATGCAGATTCAACGATGACCCTGAATTTAAGATGACCTGCTAATAATTAGATTCTGTAGATGAACAATGAATAGGTTTGTTATAATTTTCCATGCATAGAATCTAATTATTGGAGGGTCATTTTTAATTCATCCCCCACTGCTGCTAGCGGGGAAGGTGATGTGGAAAGGTCAAGCAGTTTACTCTCTGTTTATGCCTGCCCCCCTGCCAGCCTCTGGTCCCTGCTTCCCACCCTGCCTTAGTCTTGATCCGGGCTCACAGGCTCCGTCCCCATTCTAGCCTGGGACACTGAACCTGGATCTGGACCAGCCCCCATAGCAGCCATGCCATGTGGATACTTGTCTTTGGCTCAAACTGCTCTATGTGTAGTTTCTGATTAACCCTGCCAGGTTTCTCTCAGGGTTTGAGCTGCCTTGTGCAGGTCCCTCTTGACTTTAGGTTCTATCTTTCCAGAAGGAAGAACAGTCTTATATAATACTCAGGGGGTAGTCATGTAGCTCATTGTTTCCCAACCAGTGCACCGCAATGCAAGAGTGTGCTGTCAGAAATGAACAGGTGTGCTGCAGAATTTTGCCATGGCAATGAGCTACAATAGGTATGAGGATGGGGAATGCCTTAACAGATGTGCCATGGAAAATGTTTATTAATGTAAGTGTGCCTTGGGCTGGAAAAGGTTGGGAAACATTAACTTAACTCCAGCTCTCAACTTGACCAGCTGATTCTCCAGTATATCCAGCTCCAAAGAGGCCAAGCCTTAGCATCCCTGTACCCATTCACCCTGAAGGGCACAAACCCCAGCATGACAGGTACAATCAAATTTTGTAATGCAGTCTTGCTGCTTACATTGCAAAGCATTGTTAAAACAGTCAGCTTGGTGAGAGTGTACAGAACGAGTGCAGAAAATGAATCCTCTGCTTGAAGAAGTCTTGCAATAAATATAGTTGAATTCTTACGTGACATTTCTTTTCATAGGCTACAGTTACTCAGACGAAGGACTGGTTTGCACTAGCAAAACAAAGCCAGCATGTAACATCTACAGATTCAGTTAGTTGTCCTTTAGTTTCTTCTCAAATTCAAGGTGCAGACCACTGGTCTACAAACGACCAGAGAACTGTTTCATTCACTGAGAACGTTGGCCACCGAGGTAAGCGACGGGGGCATAACTATTGTGATTTATAGCATACGCTTTCTGCAATTGAAATTGTGGCCATTCTTGAATTAGAGAAGTGCTATGCTGGCTTGTTTTTGGTTTTTTGGCTGATACTACCGTACCCAAAAGGGCTTGTAGGAGAAAAGAGCAAGCACATGTGCTCCCCACTCCCACAGTGGTAAACAAAACCAGCGCTTAATAAAAACAGGCTACAATCTTCTTTGTAGAGGAAACAAACATGGCACAGAAAAGACCCAACACATGGGAAAATATTAGGACCATGTCTCTCCCTAGGCCCTTAAAGGACACAGAAGCCATTCTGTTTGAGAACTGCATCATTGTGGTTTTGTATCCAAAGCGTGGACATAGAGATGTAGCTTTACATGGCATTATTCCTCTGGAAACCAAAGGGGATTATCCATGTAAAATACTACTAACTTAATTATTAATGAATAAGTTATGTAAGTTTCACTAGTTTATGAGTCAGGACTTGATATTACATTTTGCAAAGCTGCAACCAACCAGGTGGAGTTTACACAGTGCAGTCTTGCATGTCCATATTATACTAGGCTGGACTAGGCATAGGACTGCACCCTAGTCCATGACGCCTCTTGAGTCTTTTTTGTTCAGCATGTAGAGTCTTCAAATGTCAGGGAGCTTTGATGTGTTTTGGCATAGCTAATTTTGGAAAAACTTTTCCAGAAGTTAGCGGATCTCTGGGCTGCTCAACTCTTTTCTGATGCATTCAGTTCATTGCTGGTAGCCAAGTAGAAAGTCTTGTGCTCCATCCCCACATTAATTTATTTTGGTAATGAGTGGATTTTTGCTCCAATCCATATGTTATCTCTTCTGCTTGAGAGCTTTATCTTTCAGTGTGGAGCTCTGTTTTCCGTTTATATATGCTTACTACAGTACTCCATCATGGGAAATCCGTAAGCTTTTCAAGCAGAAGGCATTATATATGCACAGTATTTCTTGGAATTAACCATCAGGGACTGTAGGCAGAGAAAAAGAGAGAGAGATGGAGACAGCATAAATGTATCATTGCAACATGTCCAAGTATAGGAGTTTAACACTGTGGGCACTAATGCATGGTGAGGTAGCACAACCTTGGCTGGAATTCATGCCACTGAAAGGTAGCCTCAGGACTTATCACTACATTTTTTTCCGCTGTTCATTACCTTGTTATGAAAAATGGGAAGGTTTGGGGATTGTTTTCATTTCAATGATGAGAGAAGGAAAAAGTAACACAGAAATCCATTATTCCTAGCATAGCCAGTAGCCTGAGAGTGAGGGCACTGGCTTGGGAAACAGAATGTGAGACCCAGGTTTGAGTCCATGCACCAATTAGGATAATTCTTGGTATCTCAAATTAATGCCCTAGCCATAAGACAGCCTGTCTTTCTGGGTGCATTCACACTGTACAGTAGAGTATAACATAGACAACTGAGCTAGCTCTAAACCATCTGCCTCAGGCCCTGGAAACAGCCTAACTGTGGTATCATGGGGCTCCATGCAAGTTAATTTACCCTCCTGTATCTGAAAGTATCCCTCAAGAAAAATGCCTTCCTATCTTGGGCATCTTAACAGTGATGAATTAGAGAAGTGTGCTATCTAGTCATACCCTCAGTCTCTCCAGTTGGAGGTTTTAACTTTTTGTAAATCATTAAATATTCATTGGCCCACAAGCAAGAAGCTGACTCTATATCCTGGTAGTCAGAGCACTGACATGGGGCATGGGATATTCAGGTTCAGCTGTCTGCTATGCCTGATTTTCTGAACTACAGTCATAACAGAATTTTTCATATGTTGTTTTTATGATGTAACAGATGAAAGATTGGATCTCCTTAAAAGTTTTACCAGCACAATCAACACTTGCCAATCTTGATAGCATTTCCATTGGAAAGGCTTCTCAGGTCTAGAATGGAATTAGAGAAAGACCTTTCATCTCAAACAGTCATGTGCTGAGACTAGGTTCAGGTCCCTGCTCTGCCTGATTTGGATCAGGGACTTGGACCTGGGTCTCCTAAGCAAATGCCACAACCAGTGGGATCTTGACTCCTCTAGGAATGGTGGGGTCATCTCTAATTCTACCGTGGACCTAAGAAACATCCTCAGTGGAAAGTTTGTTAAAAACAGCATGTTTTGGTTTCATAGAAAAGGTTTGTACCAGTATGATATTTGAAATATCCCATCATGATTATAGACCTTAAAAAGGGCAGTTTAAATTCTGTATTATTCTTTATTGTTCTGAAGCATGACAGTTTGTAGCCTGTGTATTGTTGAATGGCAATGGGAATTAAATACAACAGATACTGTATAGCAGTGTTAAATTACAACTGTTTTTTCTTGCTTTTTGCTTAGATTCCGTTTCTGGTCATGGTGCACACAGCCTTTTTGCTCAGCTGAACAGAACCGACTTACACAGTGATAGTAGTAGCAGTCTAGGTAAGCAGTACTTACAGAGAAGCATGCCATTTGTGTCACCTCCCATTGGGGAAAAAACCTATTGCCCAGCTGTTTGGGAAAAGCAGAAAGAGGTATCTGGGCAAGTTAAAGACAAGACTCGGGTTTCCTGTTCACCAGACAAGAATTAACACAGGAAGGTGGAAGCCAGCTTAATAGTATCAGGTACTTAACTGCCAGTTATAGGGAGGTGGCCAAAGGGAATGAATGAAAATGGAGCAAAACGAGCTACAACTGCATCACCCTCCCTCTGCTTGTTCTTGAATCTAAGACGAGGGCCTTTTCCTCCTATGCTGAAAAGTAAATATGGTAGTTTTAACATGAGCATCTATGCTGATTCCAACTGTGGCAGTATGGTGTTTTCCAACTGCTCTGCAATAATAAAATTCAAGTACATTCCACATCTCTTAGTTTAAAGACTTTTTTATGTCAGCCTGGAGAAGAGTCCTGAATCTGAAGGAGTTTGCAGCATTTTTTTCTGATTTAATGCAGGAGCAGATTCCCTGGGTGATGAATATGTACAAAGAAGTCTCCCCCTCCCTCGGAGGATGACAGCTGTAAAAGTTAGCAATGTGAGTGGGAGATCCACAAATAAAAAGGAGGAATCTTCTGTGTCCATTGCTGAAACGCCTTCTTGTACTCAGTTAAGAGTGTATCTAGACCAGAAATGGGAGAGTGAAACAGAGAAAGAAAGTAGTCAGGAAACAGCAATTTTTCAAACACTGGAAGAGTTTACATCAGCTTATATTCAATATATAGTGAGGGAATCGGTCTCCAAGCTGACTGGACAACCAGCTGCTAAGAGCAAGAGCGATGTGAACTTCAGTAAATTGTCTAAAGTCTTTATAGATGAGGTAGCAAATAAAAAACTTTCTGTTGCTGCCGGAGAACAACTGTCTTCCCAAATTATCACTCCATTCAAAGAGTTGGACCCCAGTGGAGATGAAATAGAACAGCGGAGTGAAGAAGTTAGTTTAAGTTCAAGTTCTGAAACTGATGGCACAGACATTAGGGCTGCCTGGTGTATTAGTCACCAAACTTATGATATTGGCAACAGAAATGAATTTGAAAGATTCAAGAAGTTCATTAAAGGAACTTTGGGGGAGAAGTACTGGTGGCTCTGGATGGACATTGAAAGACTGAAGGTCCTTAAGGACACCAGAAGGCAGCAAAGGTATTTTCCATTGTTCTTACTACTTATCTAAAAGGCTAGATAAATGTTGGTTTTGCTTATTTAGAATTAATCATCAATTATAGATACAAGTGGTTATTGCAAACAAAGGATCTAATTCCAATAATTCCACTTTAATTGGGAGAATTCAGGAGCTATCTTGGTGAAGCAGACAAAGTTATATGTATGGCAGACTTACTTGAAGTTAGAATTGGTCTCAATATTAAAATTTTGTTTAAGAAGTTGGTTTAAAGACATAAGATTCTAAAGTCACAAGTGGGGCATATAGTATGTGCTTCCTAAATAGATTTTATTAGGTTTGTATACTATCTTGTATTATAAGATAGTATAAAGTTTAACTCTGTACAAAGCCAAGCTTTGTGCATAAGTGTGAGAATCTGAAAGAAATGTTTTGGCTTCTACTAGTTACACATTTTTAAAAATGTATTTCCAAAATGACAGCTGTTTGATCTATGGGATGACTGAGTTTTGCCTAACTGTGTACAGTATATAACATGTATATGCATTTGTTTTCTTTCACCCAAGACAGCTTGATAAAATGAAAAAAATCTATCTAGTAAGCAGTGGAGATTATTTCCTTAATTCACAAGTCTTATTCAGACTGGATCTACTCCATGGAGATCAGTGGAATATAAGGCATTTAAGAGGGATTCAGCCAGAAGTAGTGAAACCTTTACTTCTTTACTGGTAGGAATAATTGAAGATGAACTATAAAGTCACTTGATTTTTTTTGTGTGTATATCCTCTTTTTAATTTGACCCTAATTTGCTAGAGCTCAGGGGCAAATTCTCATCTCATTTATACCAGTTCAACCCTGAAGTTCATGGCAGTGATGTAGTGGTATTAGTCCCCTAAATTTTTGTTTCAGAGACCTGAGGGTATAGCTATACTGAAAACTTCCCAAATTGAGCTCCATGCTACCGTAGCTAGACTGTTTCTATCACCTGAGCTGGCTTGTTTACAGCTACATTAGGCATCTCTACACTTTACTACACTTTAGTCTAGAGTTGCATGTGGTCTAAATTTATGCAAGGCTTAAACCTAACAGTTTACTTGTTGATCTCTGTTATACAGAGGGGTCATATCAGTCTTGTAAATATGCACCCTTTCTTCTGTGTCTCTGTGGTAAAACACTGAGATTTTAGGACTGAAAATGCTGTACAACAGTGCTTCTCAAACTATCTGATGTGGCGGACTGGCAGTTTTTTTTCCAGTGGGCCAGGGACCGGTGCCTTATTTTTCCAGTGGGCCAGGGACTGGTGCCCTATTTATGGCTATGACATATCAATGTTATGCTTCTGAAAATATATTTCTTTCTTTTCTGGCAACTTGCTGCGAACCGGCGACTGGTGGCTCGTGGACCGGCACCGGTCCGTGGACCACCACTTTGAGAAGCACTGCTGTACAAGACCTTGTTGTTGGTTTTTTGGGGTTTTTTTAGCTTCAACTAACAAAGACTGTTGGCTCAGGATTCAGGTGAAATTGAGCTTCATGTTAATTGTCATATGCCAGGGCTTGTCAACCAGGGGTACAAGTACCACTGGGGATAATTGGGAAGTCCTCAGGGGGTACATGCGGGTGGGCAGAGATGGAGTGCTGCCACCCACTGCCCTGCTCTGCTGCCTCGCAGAAGCAGGGCCAGGGTGGGTGAGGGCAGCAGCGCCCCTCTACGGGCCGCAGGCACCACTCAGCTGGCCAGACACTGGGAGGAGATGGAGCTCGCACATATTGGCCACCAGCATCACCAATCACCCCATGCTGCTGCTGCTCTGCATGCAGCCGCTGCCACCCCTACACCCCACTCTGCATCTGGCCCTGTGCCAACCCTTCCTCCCCTGCTCTGTGTCTGGCTGCTAGGGGTACACTTATTAAAAAAGGTTGAAACCCCCTGTCATATGCTATAGGAGATAACACCATTTCTAATTTACTACCAAAGCAAAAGCACCTAAGGTCTTTTCTAACACCCTCCTGTCTCCAAATAGATTCCTGAAAACATGAATTGAGCCCTCCAGATTAGTTCATGCTGCCAAAAATCCCTTAGAGGAGTTGCATTTTGGATACCTCGTACATCCATCCTTCTCTATCAGGCTTGAATGCTGCAACCCAAACTTTAATAATAAACTGTTTTTTTTTAAATTGGAGGAGAGTGTAAGATTATCTTAATATTTCTAATCTTAAATCTGTGTCTGCCTTTGACTATTAACAGCATAAGATCATGATGTGGTAAATGTCACAAAAAGTCACCATATATCAGTCAATTATTTTGTGTTTTAAGTGTGTGTGTGTGTGTGTGTGTGTGTGTGTGTGTATGTACACATGCGCGCATGCATACACACACATGGGCTGTCAAATGATAAATGTAATTAATCGCGAGATAAAAAAAATAGTTGTGATTAATTGCAGTTTAATCGTGCAGTTAAACAATAATTGAAGCCCAATTTATTATAAATATTTTTGGATGTACACACACGTACACAAACCCTAGACAGTTCCCAAGACCTGGCTCTCCAACTCCTGTCCCCCCCCATACAATTACCTGCATCCAGCTGCTGAGTCTGCTCCCAGGACCCTGTCTGGTGTGCATGTGTGTGTGCACGTGCATGTGTGTGTGTGCCTGGCATGTGTTTGTGTCTGTGTGTGGCTGGGCAGCAGTGAGAGGGGTGGGGACGTTTTTCCCACAGCACACAGGCAAGCATGCAGCAGCAAGGGGAGAGGGGCTACTTTTCCCCCATTACCAACAACAATTAATGTGCGTTAAAAAAATTAACGCAAAATCAAATTAACGTGTTAATCGCAGGCATTAATCGCGATTAATTGACAGACTTAACTTATACACATATACCTATATATAAATATTTATTGACATTATTTTTTTGTTTCAGGGGCCCTAGATTTTGTGTCACTCATTCATCTAAAATACGAAGTGCTAGTGCAAAGCTGAAGCTGTGGCACATGTGTCAAGAAAGACCAAGGATGGATATTGATCCTTTCCCACAAATGGTGACATTGTTGCCACTAAGAGCCAAATCTTGCATGCCAAGAATAGCATCTTCCCATCCTCAGGTAGGCATGGCAAGGGCCTGCTTCTAGAAGCAAATCTTGCCCTAGGAATAATACTTACCTTCTTACTTATCTCCTTGGAAATAATGTCAAGAGTTCAGTTGAATTCAATGAGAGAAGGATTTGGTCTTTAGTATTTGGGTTAGTTTACAGTCAGAACTGGTAAATCCAGCGTATCTCATTCAGACAGTTACATATATGTTGCAGTAGAAGCCAACTCTGCTTTGTGCCATAGCTCCATTTAAACAGCTATTAGTTTAAAATTCACAAGACAGTCACAGAATCCCATAAAGAAACTCGAAAGCCACTTGTTTTCTGGGATTTACTCTGGGTTTAACCTTATAACCTTATGTCAGATGTTAAGCAGAGTAGAATCTGTCTCACTGTCTCTTCAGTAATACTTGTTTTATTCCTAAAAGCCACAATGATTGTTATCTAGAGGTGGTCACAATTTTCAAAATTCAAATATAGACTGGATTTTTCAAATTGGAAATTCAAATCTGGATTTTTAACATCTTACAGTTTTCAGGTGACTGTATCAAGGCTTTTGATTTGTTTCTTCACTTCAGTGGAAGGTGCAGGTCCTCAGGAACAGGCTGCAAGATAGAAGCTATTTGCAAAATGTGAATCTAGATTTTAATTCGAATTTCAAACGCATCCAAAAAGATGTTCTGATCTGGGGATTTAGTTCAAGCTCATCTTTAAAAACCTGAATAATTTTAAATTGTAATTTTATTATCACCTTTTTTTTTTTTAAACCCCATAATTAGTGGAGACACTATTATATTACAAATACATCTTGGACTCCTGATGTTGGAGTCCTGTAAGCTGCTTGTGTTGTTCTAAGTAAAGATGCATGTTGGTTTCATGTTAAAAGGATTCATACATTTTCCTTTTAAAATCAATTAAACTTAGATCCTTTGAGATATTCAGTGATTTGGGATTTTGAGTAAATGAATCTGTAGTCTGAGGCTGTAAATAGATGTCACCTTTGTCCCTGGAGAAAGTATTTTGTCCTGTGACCCTACAAATACTAGACCATTGTCCTGCTTCACACCCCACCAAAGTGTTGCCCTGTGGGGTCAGGCCAACTCTCAGGATCTCAATTTTGCGTTGTTAGACAGGAGGGTGTAACACAATTGCACATATACAAACACACAAATCAATTGGATGCATACACACACACTACCAACTCAGGCATATACACATCAAAACTAGCCTAGGCACATGCATACCTATCACCAATTCTAGCACATACACTATATACCCCAAAAGTTAGACAAAAATCAATTGTCCATACCCGCACACTTAGTACACATACACAGATCACTAATTTGTATATTATGCACACAATGACATATCTATATATGCATGCACACACACACACTCACCAGTTCACACACATACAACCCACCTACACATACACACAGGTAAGTTCCTAACTTGGATGGTACAGTGTGTATGTGTGTGCTTGGGGTACCTGGGATACTTGGGGGAAGGTTAAAGTGAGAGAGAGAGAGTTAAAGTGTAGGGAGTGAAAGTTGCCAGAACTAGGATTAGAACTGGTGGACTAGAGAGAAGCTGGCTGAGGAACTGAGGCTTAGGTTTACTTAAGATCAAGTGGCCCCAGGGTTACTTGAGATCACTGGTGCAAGGAAAATTAAAAAAAAAAAGCCTGGTGGCAAGGAGGAGACAGCCAGGAAAGAGAGAGAGACAGAAACCTGGGAGCTTGGGGCTGAAAACTGAGGCAGGCAGCTGAGATATTGGGGCGGGGGGCAGATAAGTGGTGGCAAGGAGGAGACAGCCAGGAAAGAAACTGAG